TCGTCCCCTAACTTACTTGGAATACCGTTCCATCTAGATTCGTGTAAGCCTTAACAGCGTGTTCCGGCATCATATACGTGATGAAAGCGAAGCCTTTTACTTTTTTTGTCAACGAATCAATCGGTAAATACACTCAGTCAGGGGACCTATCAAAAATAATATTATAATTACTGTAAAACCATTAATTTTCACTGAAATTTGATTTCAATATTTTGATGTTTTGAGCATATTCACTTAGTTTTAATTTCACAAATTTGTCAAAGAAAACAATGAGTTTTATTGTTATTTTACATGTTCATGTAGATTTAATTAAGCGAATTTTATTTATCGGCAAAAATAGGGAAATTAAAACACAGTGAATAATTAATGCATTAACAGTACTTATGGAGTACATTGAATGAAATAATCTGATCACATCTCTTCAATTTAGATTTTTTTTTTGAAATGTATCAAAAGCAATTTTTTTATCTTAATCAGGATTTTAACAAACACTGAATGTATCAAGGGTGCAAGGACATACAATGTAGAAACCCACAAATAGAATCATCTTTTTTTTTGAAACAACAACGGGAACCTGACTCAATCGTTGGCTTTATGTGTAAGCAACCTTGGTTTTCATGTTTTCGTTATTTAATAATTGTAAAATAGTCCATAATACTAATTTTGTAAGTAATACGTTGTTCATGATTGTTGAACAATGCCAAAATATGTTATTTGTTTGAGAATTTCATCCAAACAAGATGTCAAAGTTACAAACTCTATAAGCAACCATTCCAATAAGGCCGCAATTGTGGACAACATATCAAACAGATAAATATACTTACCAAATTTTGTAAATAATTTTTCCAAGTCATCTTCTACGCACACATAGGCCAGATTTCTGACAAAGAGCCTGCCGGTCTGAATCAGAATGTGAATATTACCAAAAAAAAAGAGAAAAAACAATTAACTTTCCCAGCCAACAACCCCTGGATCATCCAATGAGCAGGGTTTGACAAAGGTCCTCTATCCTCAGTCTAGTAAACTTCATTCAGGACCAGCATAAATGCGTGAGTGGAACTCCGAGAGACTAGTGGTTTTCTCTCATTGTTTTAATAAATGGAAGGATAAAAAATTTTGATCTTTATTAGGAAAGGAAAGGGAAAAATGTTCTGCGATGTGTGTCAAAAATATGACGCAGGCATGTAAGTGACAGGATGTACCAATTTTAAGTTGGATAGCATCAAATCATACAAAATCTTTGCCTGCACCCATACCAGAAATTTTGTAAGAAATACTGTGGCTGAGAAAAACTCATAAATTGTGGTGAATTTGAATACAATACAAAGAAAAGAATTGATTGAGTAATAAAGTTGCTAGTTGTACACAGTTTTGTCAGTTACAACTATCACAGGAGTGCAGACACGTGTCTCAGTACATATACCTATAATAGCTTTCCTATTATCTCCATAATGACTTACTGTTTGAGAGCATTGCTATGTAAATGTTTTCTTTCTTTAATTGCAAAAAGTAGGAGGGCCAGTAAGATTTTAGTTGGGATAGCATTTGTGTGATGAATTTTCTTGACTGTCTAACCCTGATGAGAAAGACAGTGCCTTCTCGTTACTTGAGTGTCAGTATTGCTTTTTTTTTGACAGTAAACAGTGGTTTTCTGGATGGTATTTTTTTCTCCAAAGCGATGTATAAAGATAATATGGAGATATATGTAGCCATTCATGGAAGAGAATAAAAAGACAATCTACGCTCACCTCTGCTATTCTTTCATCTTGATTTTCATCTGCATTTTCAGCCACCTATCAACGAATACAGATATTAATGTCATATTCTACTGTTTATTCTAAGGATATCCTTTCACTCAATTCCACACGAACTGAGAAAAAAAGCACTTGTATAGTAAATATATATTTACTGGTATCATTTGTGTGAAGGCAATTTAATCGATACGAATGAGTAAACATTGTCAAAAAAATACAATAGTCGCTGACGGGTAGGGGAATATATTTTTTCAACCCTGAATTAAAGCGCGGTGGTCGTTGCGCTGCGATGTGCAACATTTGCGTTGATAAACATTGATTTTCCCACAATCCAATGCACTCTTCAAATGGAAATCACAAGTATGAGGTTTGACCTGGGCGCGACTTGCACTGATTACCACCGGTGACTCCTTCGATACCTTCCAATCGCCTGAAAATCACCTAATTAAAGCTTGGAATCGTCTCAGTTTGTACTCATTGAACTGCACAAGAGTCGTCATGTCTGATTATATGAGACCCATATATCTCACGCATGTGTGGCGCGACACCTACCGCCCTTTAATTGAATGTTCATGATTTTCAAAACTTTGTGTGAATAAAACATTGACATCAATGCAATCACACATACATGTATAACACACACAATGATTACGCTTTCAAAATAATCACTTTCCATTATTTTCAGGCATAATATGATTAAAGTACTGTAAAACACATTGAAATACCTACATGCCATTTTAACGAATTTGACTCAAAACATGAATTAACAAAATCTTAATTTAGCCAAAATGCTAACAATTTCAGTGCGAGAATTAGCGAAATTACAGGTTAGCTAAATTAGCTAAAATGAGATGCTAGCTAAAAAGACGTATTTTACACCACACTACCTTTTTCATCCATGGTTTATCATCTCCAGTTTTTACTTTACTGGGATCAAAATCATCTACGGCCTCATAGAGTGCAATTTCTATACACCGCCCCCCTGAAATAAAAAAGAAGGTTACCCTGTCAGATCGGAGGCTTCTTGTAAATAAATCATTTTACAATAAACAAGTTACTTTACTTCACATTATAGTTCGAAGACTGTAAAATATGGCTGGGGAGGAACTGACTTTTGTTGCAATACATGTATTATGATTACAATTTTATAAACTATATACTGTAAAATGATTAATTATTCATTGGGTTTTAATTTTGCTCATTTCACTGCCTGGAAAATGCGCTAAATTAGAACCCAGTGAATATGTCAAATTTAGCATAGAACACATTAGCTAAATGACAAAACCGTGAATTTAAACCCACTGATTACATGTATGCCTGAAATCAGGTATGTACGACCTAGAAATAGTGCCGTATGTGAGTACCAAGTTGCGAGTCGCAAGTAGCAAAATATGCCATATGCTAGTGGTAAAAACGGCATATGCGAGTGGTAAAATGTATCGTTTGCTAGTAGCAAAAAAGCCCTATGCCAGGGGTAATACAAAGGCTTGTAACGTTTGCTTATAATATAACAACGTACGTTCAATTGTGTTTTATCACAGTAAAATCAAATATTTACCATGGTTATGAAATGATGTGTACATGGTTGGTTAAGATTGGCATGATGCTGTATCAAAAAGTTCGTTCAGTCATTTGCATAGAATCGAT